TAACACGTTAACGAGGGAAAAAGCCGCGCGGCTGTTAAAATGTACCGACGCCTCGCTTGACCGGATTCTACGGTGCATTAATTCTCGACAATACGTCGTTCAACGAGACGCACCGTTGGGTAAGGTCAGTTTATCGGTCGGGGTCGCGGTTTAATGCTTCCCACGGCGGCCATTTTGTTTTTTCGGACTTTCCGCCGAGGACGCGAAGTAGGCCTGCTAAAAATGGCGAAAAGTCGAGATATCCCGAACCCGAGGCGGTTTTGACCATTCCGAGCATGAGTTAACAGTTCAACGAGGAGTCCCCTCTCTCTCTTGGCACCTCCGGTCGACTCCTACGTGTTTGGTATGCCAATTTTCCGCAGAACGCGGCGCAATGTCGCGGGATCCTCGCAAGAGTCGCCCGGGGAAAAATTGAAGCGCGACATTGCATGATAAGGCACCCCCATAAAAATTCCAGACAATCGGAATTTCCCAGGTAAAATTCTTTAGAGAATATGAGAAGAATACCAAACACTGTTTTCGATTAATCATGCCATTGGGGATGGGAATTTTTCTTGCACGGCAGGGTAATATCGTGAAATTCACGCACGAGTCGCGCGGTGAAAAATTGAAACGCGACGTTGCGTGAAATGTCACCAAGACTTTCTAAGTAAAATTGTTTAGAAAGTATGGAAATATTATCGAACACTCTTTTCGATTAATCATGCCATTGGGGATGGCAATTTTTCTTGCATGGCAGAGTAATATCGTGAAATTCACGCAAGAGTCGCGCGGTGAGAAATTGAAACGCTACGTTGCGTGAAGAATCACCCCCATAAAGAATTCAAGATAATCGGGAATTTCCCCGGTAAAATTGTTCAGAAAAGCTTAAAATATTATCGAACGCTCTTTTCGATGAATTTATCATGCCGTTAAGGATAACGGCGAGTCCGCGCCGATTATCTCACGCGGCGAGAAGAATTTCCGCCAAGGATCTTCGAAAAGCGGCGCGACCGAAGGCGATGCCGGTTTCTCAAGAGGCGTTTTTCATCCCGCGTTAAGTGCGTCGAGAAGTGCGTTACCAGCGACATTGCATTCCTGTGGTGTCAGCAGCTTCCTCCAGGGCTTACGTAACGGCGAACGAAAGGAGAGGATCGCGGGATGAGCGGAATCTCAAGGAAAATCCGCGCGTCGATCCTCCGCACCTTATCGATCGAAATGGTCGGAGACTCCTCCTTGTACCGAGAAAAATGATCCAAATAAGGAAAACCATAAAAAAAAAAAAGAAGAAGAAGAAGAACGAGTGAACAAAGAACCACGGCAGAACATATAAACCTAGGTCGGAGAGAAGGAATAAAAAAAAAAGGACGAATGGAAAATGGAAACAAAGCCGGAGAGTCTTATATAAATTTCCCCGCATTTGCGGGAGTGGGAGGAAGTGCACACGAGTGAATTAATAATGTTGCGGATTAATTGAAGAATGGAGGGGAGGACTGTTTGCACAGCCTCGAGGAGACGTTATTTCATGCACGACCAGGAATGCCGCGGATGATGTATTTATCTCCCATTGTGACTAGGGAAGTGAGTTTCCTCGTCGATAGAGACATTCAATCGCGCACATGGGTGATTCGCACACCGGCACTGACAATTTACGGTGTCTCGACATCAAGAATCGAGTCCTGGATGTCGAGGAATTAATCACACATTACCTGGAATTATTAACATTTTCGACCGAATTAAATTTCCCGAATCTCTGAAACTAGATGGCCACCAATCTTCCGCAAAAAGAAAAAGATTCTTAATCTTCAAAGATATCGAGTCTCCAGATATTCTCGCAGAATCCGAATCGACCGGACGCAATTGGCACCAGCCGTGCACGGTAATGTGCAATTATCCTGCCTCGCAACCGCTGCGTTGGGCAAGATTCGACGTGCGGTAGAATGTCATCCCTACTTGCATCTCCTGGCTCTAGGTGCAGGAAACAGTGGAAGGAAGGTTCGTTCAACTTCTGCAGTTCGATATATCGACCAGACGAAGTGGAACCAGCGGATTAGCAAGACTATAGGCCACCCAAAGGGTCCAGCTAATGCGACCCCTGGAACCAGGGTACCCAAAACCGCGGAGTTCCACTTCCCAAAATACCGGATCCCAACTTGATCCCTCGGGAGGTTTTTTTTTCTTCCATTATTAAAAATTAATTGTTTACTCCAAGGAGAAAGGGGTGGAGGAGGGGGGAAGGATAGGGTGAAAAGACGGGGAAAAAAGAGGGAAAGAAGTCCGGCCCGGCGGGTTCAAAATCCGTTTCAGGGTGTCTTGTTACGTGGCGACTCGCAGGTGCGGCTAGGCCGAGCGAGGCTGACCGGTGTATTAAATTCCGCAAAAATTCTGGCGACGCCACCTTCTCGAAAGCATCTGACCCTCTCTCTCTCTCACGATGGCAGGAGCCGCTCACCCAGAAAGTGATTCGCCATTTCTCGAGCGTGGAATCAGAATCGAAATCCCAGAACCTTTCCTTGGAAGGGCTAGATCACGCTCCCAGAAAATGGTCCAGCGGATTCCCACCATTCATCCGAACCAATAAAATCGTTAATTCCGCGTCTCTGTTGCACAAATTGGGAGTGAATAGAGACTCCAATCCCTTTGTCTAGATGATAGGTTGGAGGTGTCCATCTTCGGGCGGATTTAATGTCCAATCGCCCACTCTGTCTCTCCTACTCAAGAGGAATGGATAGACTTGATTGATAGGTCGATAGTTCAATAGGTCGGAAGTCTGATCGATCCACCTGCCCACATAGTTTCCAGTCTCGAAAGGCAATCACTAGGAGGCAGAATGCCCGACATTCCAGCATCCCACTCGAGCCCCTCCCATGAAGGGATAGGTCGTGGTCTGGACCGAGCCCTCCACTAGTTGCATCAACGTAGGTCCCTGCCAATCGTTCCAAAGTGCATGCCAGGGACAAATTGCTCTGCCGACTCGTCCGCACAGTACATGGGATCTCCATTTGATGGGTCTAAGACCGCCGCACCAGGGACCATTAATCCTTGGGTCCGGTTCAGCCTTTCTTGGTAGACACCTCCCTCCTCGTTGTCCTCCAAGGTCGAAATCCGCCGACATTACCCCGGTCCCTGTCTGGAAGGGCTAGTCTCGTTGGAAAAAACGCGAGTCGTTGCTCGGGACGGCGGCGGTCCACTGCTACCTCCACCTTCGAAGGACCACCAAGGCCGAAGGTGGATAAGGTGGAACGGGTTAGGGACCATCCTGATCTCTCCACACCTACGCAGGCGGACCCTGCTTAATCGTTCAGGTCCGTGCATCGGAGTGACCTCGGATCCCCATCAGCAGCTAATCTTGGGGTCCCCAACCCCGTCCTTTTTTGGGGAGCCGGACTTGGAGGCTATTCCCCCTCGAGCCTCCATACATCGGTGCGACCTCGGGTCCCCATCAGCAGCTAATCCTGGGGTCCCCAATCGCGTTTCCTTTTTGGAGCTGGAGGTCGACTCCCTCTCGAACCTCCCACAGGATCATCCTTGCACCAATGCTGTTTCCAGCATTGCCTTCCTCGTCCCAAAATTCGAGATGATCAGCCTTTCGCCGGGTTCCAAGGTCCAGGGTGTCCGATTCTTGCAGCAGGCCTTTTCTCTGAGTTATTGCCTCTAAATCCAGACATTGAAGGCTCTTGCTACGCCCAGTCGGGCTTTCTTCTGCGTCTTGACGTGTGGGTGTAGTCGAAGCCGAAGAGCGTTGGAGGCTTTTTTCTCGGTCTCCTCGAGATATTGGCTACACCCTCGTATGTATACAGTGGACGCGCGGTAGCCGGGCGACAGAGAGCCAAAAAACACCACTCTCTGGCGCGAAAAAGAACGCGCCAAACTCGTCCAGACGGTGGAAAGTCCTTGGGCGCCGCCCAGCTCCGAAGGTAGGCCACCGAGTGCACGGTTTTACGTGCGAAAATTGCCAATTAACCGACGTAATCGTTATATCGCCGAGTCCTGCGTGACCGTCCTCGCGGAAACGGGCGCCGCGCCTCGGGCGCCATATTGGAGGCAGTTGGATGTGGTCAGTGGAGCAACGAGGCACCAAACCAAGTGGTTCGATCATTTAATGATTTAATGATTGGATGATTCAATTATTTGATGATTGGGCCAACCACTGGATTCCTCCTTATCAGTCGAATTTCTTGCCGATGAGATCAGGACGCTCGGTCTAAGTCACAGATCGGGTCGGGGAACGTGATCCCAGAAAAGGTCGCTCGGCGCACGTCGACGGGCTCTACAGATTCCTATGAAAAGCTAGAGCCGCCGATGAAGGCCACGTAGTCGGTGCCTGACCTATCCAATCCCGGCAGGAAAATCAAGTTTCGGTGGGAGTGGTTCCGAGTAACCGATCGCGGTTTCACAACGCGCATTACGTTTGCAGATACCCAGTACCCGGGGGAAGGGTCCTGCCTCTCGCCAGGACCGTTCCCGTTGTTTCGAATCCTTTTCCACCCGGCCCAGCGTGCGCACGTCCTGCTTACGTATGCACCGCTCCTCGACTATCGCGGATGTTCCGCAACGATGTCGATCATGTCTGGCGCGATTCTTCGGTTTGCGCAAGCCGTCGATGCCGATCCTCTTGATTTCAGAAACCCTCCTAGGTGCACCATCGGGTTCGTTTAGGTATGCAATGCGCCTCCAGGAGGTACCATGGTCTGACCACGGCGTGGACGTTTCGTCGCGCGAGGAGCACCGGCATCGAGAGCCGAGTGGCATCGCTCGGCGAGTCCGCGCGTTGCGTAAACCGTTTGGTGCCTCTTCGCGGTTCTCTCTGGTTTCGGTAACCCCTTTGCATGGAGGAGCGCGATTAATTTTAGTGGGTCACGAGTGGCGGCGAGTATAAGGCACTGCTAGGCTCACGGCGACGGGCAGAGACGGGCCCGAGAGGTAGTGCAACCTGCCGAGAGAGCTCGGTGGGGTATTACATCGCTTGCGCAACCGGTCCTGAGCCTTAAAGCGTCTCCATCGAAGTCTTTCGCTTCCAGGTCGAGGATACGACGACGACGACGACGGTGCCGCCCGGGAGTCTGCCCTCCTGGCACATCCCTAGGCCCTCCTTGGTGGGCCGAGGCGAGCGGGACAGCGAGACCGGCAGCTGGACCCATCATCATCTGCACCCGAACTCACCCTCCAGAGGGTCCACCTCCTCGCAGGGGTCCACGGCCAGCACTCACGTCAGCACTTCAACTTAAAATCATTCCTTCTATAGCCAAATTGTATAGACTGATCAAAGTCTAAAACGATCCGATCCGCAGCTGCCGCTCCAGGACGAGCCTGGAGAAAACGGCTGGTCGCGGTTTTGGGGGGGCCGAGAGGTCGCCGATGATCGATGAATCGCCACTCTGGGTGGAGATGCGCATCTCGTTTTGCTTTCTCCTTGGAGGAGAAAGGAGGAGCCACTCGACCACCGGTGGGCTAAGTGTCTCTCCTCCTGGTTCTGGGAAAGACGTGGACGTGTCCCTGCGACTCGGCGTACGCACACGTCCACATCTCTCAAACGTGCGGACGCTGGTGGACGGATCAGTCTGCGCCATTGGGCTTTCTAGTTAAAACATAGAAAGAGGTAAATACATCTTCGGTTCCTTCCCGCTTGCAGAGTGCAGCTTCCGGCACGCTGCTCCTCACTGCGGCGAACCTGGCGAACCTGGCGGCGATGCATCCTCCCATGGTGACGGAGCCGAAACCCATGGACACTGCATCGGTGGCCAGCAGCACGCATTTCACGGTTGTCAATGGCCTCGGCAGACCGCCGACAGTTTACAGAAAGTCCTGGTGTGCCAGGAACCAACTCACCGTGCTCATCTGCACCATGAGTTTCCTCTTCATGGTGGCCCTGTTCACCGCGGTTCTTTACATGGAGAGTGAGTACCTCTTGCAGGGGCCTCCAGGTCCAATCCAGATTTTCTCGGGAATACCGAAGAGTCCTATCTCCAATCTGTGCATTTTCATAATGGATCTTCAAATCCGGTGCCGGTGGTGAACGCGGTTCCTCGACCGAATTAATTTCCAACTTTCACTTTGCTCCTCCGGATGCACTTAGTCGAGCACGAAACGTTCTTCTTGCGTTGAACTGCACTGATAACATCTCCTATCGCGGTCGGTGGTAAAAGAAAATCGCTTACGGAAAGGCACCCATTGTGCCTCCGGTTGACAATTAATCGGGTAGAGGATAAATGCGGACAATCCTGGATAAACCTGGATAAATCTGAATAAATCTGGATAAACCTGAGGTCATTTATTTTATAAATCGGCATAGGACGGAAAAAGATTAAAACGATCACTACATGCGATCAGGATAGGTCAGTGATTTTCGATTTTTCATTGCAGTGAGGGCTCGCGACAAGTATAACTAGACCACCCGGAGGAGGAGGATGCCGAAGGGAAAAGATGGCTTCCATTTAAGTTTACGAAGAGACGACTTCCTGATCACCGGAAGGAGGAGAGACCCGCAGGAAGGAGCGATAAGCGAGCGGCATCGCGTTGCCGCTTTCTCGTGCGTTTAGGTGATAAGAGGAAGAGGCCCCGCCGCGTTATCACGACGCTTCGGCGGCCTCTTCCGCCATAGTCGATAAGCTGTATTACACCGTGTCGAAAGTGTGGTACGTCAAATCAGTAATTACATTTGTGTAATGAGCGCATCGCGTCGAGCCCCCCCCGAGGTCTCGTCGAGTATAATTTATCCTCAGATTAAGGAACCCTATGACGACGACGATAAGACGCAAGGATATCTCTGATCGATCGACAAGTCGCGGGTTCCAGCGACTTTAGAGACGGTTCTCGGCCGGTTTAGCGTAGTTCCTAAACCACGTCGATACTTCGAACTCAAGATGGCGGCAGCACCGTTGGAAATGTGGAGGACTCCCTCGAAATTCCTCGCCAAAATAATTTTCATTCTTTTCTTTCTTACCCCCCTAACGATCATTTGCAATAGTGAATTGTATTATAATGTTTATTATTTATGGCACAGTATATTATAGAGCGATCATCGATGCGATTGGTTGGCCTTGCGAAGACTGAAGAGAGAAAAACTGCGACGAATTCTCGCGGAGATCGCCAATTTATCTCGAAAGTACGAGCGTTTGAGTGATAATGAGAAATCGATTCCAAGAAGGAACAACGCGGGTTAACCGTGTGTCCTGTGATTAGTGATAAGTCTCCATACTTTGATAACGCGCGTGCTCCGTCGATCTTGCCTTGAATTTAGAACGGACGCTCGATGAAGGTACTCGTTAAACATGTTATACAATTTTATGCATATGTGCCCGGGTCCCTGCTCCGCATTTCGGGGCATTTAAGTTAATGATAGAGTTGTCGATAAACAAGTACTGCCTTTTCGAAAGATGTGCGCTCCGCCCGCCTTGCCTCAGACTTAGGACGGCCATGGACCGCTTTTACGCAACTGTGAATTTCGCTTAAATTCGAGTCTGAAATCGGTAAAGGGAGAGCCGAGCACCTCAGGGCTGCGGCTTCTACAGAGGACAGATTAGCAATGTAATTTAGGGGTAATAATTTAATCGTTACTAACAATGTCGAAATCAAACGTGGGACACCCCTCCCTAATGCGTTAGGCGGGGGGCAATGTGTGGAAAAGCAATGAAGAGCAGTTGCACCGACCGCCCTTCGTGACTGTGATATTACTTGTGTATTAATTAATCGTCGATTCAACAAGAAAATGTCAAACTATAAGTATTCTCTTCTACCTAGATCCCTTCTACCCTGCCGTTAAAATTATAACGGAAACTATTGACAGGTACTTAAGGTTAGCTCGAGTACTCCTTAAATTAGTTACGCTTGAACATATTATTCGATGTTTCATTTTGTGGTTTCTAGTACTCACCTCCACTTCCTGAAGAGTTTGCGTCCATCGGTAGTTTGGCAGGTCCGCTCCATTTCCAGCGTTTGGTTTCAATTTGTTTTTCTCTGCTTCGTCTTCTTCCTCTTCCTCCATATTTTCCTCGCCATTTGCAGCTTTGGCGCCGTCTCCGCTAGGTCCAGGTACGGCGGCATCTTCGCTTGCTAATTTCTACAATAAAGATTATGTCAGAACTATAGCCGATAGTAAATGAAGACCGAATCTTGAAAGTTGGTGAGGGTATAATGAAAAAATACCTTGTTATCAAGTTCCGTTTGTAGTTTAGCGGCCTGTTCATCCGTGAGTTCAACGATTCGAGAATCTTCGTCAATTTTTGCCGCCTCCTCTTCTTCCTTTCTTTTCTTTTCTAACCTCTCTTTACGGCGTCTCTCTTGTTCCACTCTCTCAGCCTTTTCTGCCGATGCCTTGGCTAGTGCGGTCGCTTGATGTTTCTTGAATGTACTATTAACTAGCTGAAATTAAAATAATTATGTAAACCCCAAAGCACTACATTGTACCTAAAAGTAATTACAAGATCACCAGCATCCTTATGGAATTACCTTTTCGGCAGCGCCTTCGCCTCCTCCCGTATAAAAATCAGTCTTTCTCGCCAAAAAGCTAAATATTGTGTCTAAGAGCTGAAAAGTAAAAATAGTCAATTACTCACTGAATAATTTATATTTACTACAAGCAGCGAGAAATGTGCTATATCATATCTGAACCGAACATCTGGAACATTCTTTAAAGAAATCTATTTCATGCATCGTTCCACGAAACAGTTTCGATACGATCCAGATACAAAGTAATAGAATATTTTCTAGAAATTTCAGAGAAGAGAATTCTTAAAAACAAGTTTTAGTCTGATCAAGGGAAGCTAAAGCTTCGTCTTGAAAGTTAAGCTAGAATATTTATTGAGAGTACGTTCCAAATGTCAGCGTCATGCACATTTTTAGGTTAACCTCAACCGGCGCAAAAGCACTCACGTCCTGTACACCGCCCTCGTGTTGCTGTGCCATCGCCAGCAACATTCCGTCGAATTGTTCTTCATCTTTCGTCATGTTTTCCGTTTTTATCGTGTCAATTTCAACTACAACCAATTACCACGTAATAACAACGAACTTGAAATCCGTTTCCTCACTTTTTCTTTATAACGCCAGTTACACTGAGTTACACCGATGACTGTTGATGGCCTGAGAACTACATTCAAGTAGGAAAAAATTCAGCTTCAGCGAGAACCGACTTTTCGCAGAGAAGCGTTGGGAGACAGAAATGAGTTGGAAGATTGCTAACGAGCAGAGTCGCGCGATCGATCTTGTGCTGCCCCCGGTGGAGGATGTGGACGGCTAATGCACTTATCACCTGATACACACCAATGGCGGCCCAATTCAGGAATCCTCTTCGTCGTTGCTCCCAACTCATCTCTGTGATAACAAACAACGTTTAACACCTTTTAACATCTCTTACCAACGAGTCTAGCAAGATCTGCGGCGATGAACTACCTATGATGACTTGAAAAAAAATGGATCCTCCCCTCCCAACTCATCACTGGTTTTCAACTTGAAGTACCTTCAAAATTCAACAGATGGCGCGACCATGTCTCGTCAGCGCGTACAGAATTTCGGACCTGGAAACTAGATGTATCTTTCGAAAAATCCACGATCTTACCGACATCTCCTAATTTATCCAGAACTGATAAAAATGCGCTTATATCGACATATTCCAGCAACCTAGAGGCGTCGATTAAGTAGATATCTGAATGGACTATGCAGCAATTAGACAATCTACTTTTTTAGTTCAGAAGGAATACATAAATCGTCTAAAATCTACCAATACGCATATAAATCATTTCTTACAAAAATCACAGAGTACACAGAGAAATACACGGAGACACATTTTTCGCGCTTTTCGAGTTCTTTCGCCTCGTTTCTAGTTATGCATATTGAAATTTCGGGCCCCGATAATTATTTTAAGTCCTGGGGATTTTTATTTCACTATCAGGGCACTCCTGTTGACGAATACTTAAGACCACGGGTGAAATTCAACGTGAATTTCTCGCAAACAATCAACTCTCCGCGAGTCTCGAGGAAATTGATTGGTCACCGGTTCGCGATTGAATTGATTCCATCGGAAAGGCCCCTCCAGGGCGGCGTCTTCCGGTGACATACGACCGGAGAGTCGACAAAGAAAGGCGCGTCTTATTCAAATTTTATATTCGATTATGCAAATTAATGTGAGACACATAAAAGTCTCCTCCGCGGTCCGCGAGCTTTACGTCTCGGCCTCCTTTCTGCCCTCCTTTCTCATTCCGAGTAGCGATTTTTATGTTTCTTCGGGAGGAAAACTCTACCGGCGCCTGTCCCTCCTCGGCGTCCATCTTCCCCTCGGCCAGTTTCTTACACCCCTCGTTTCTATCCCTGTATTCGGTCGAGTCCTCCATGCATATGTCCGCACAGATCTCCCTTCTCTATCGACACGTCTCAAACAATTCCGAGTCATTCTTGAAATCCGGGAATTCCTAAAAAAAAAAAAAGAAACAATTTCAGCAAAGGTCCCTCCCGCCGGTTACCGTTTTCCAGGTTTCATTGACAAACGAGAGCCCATCTCGTGCAAACTTTAAATAAACATTTCATCTAAAAATCGGGAGGGAACGACTGCACCTCTATTTCGGGACGAGAGAGGCAGCGCGCGATGATGGGAACGTTTTAACGAAGTCCCAATGATGCCATGCAAATGACTCGGTAACAGCTTCCGCGTCATGTACTCCTCTCCGCCGGCTTAACCCGATTCCATACATATTTTAACGCCCGCGAAACCGTAAGAAAATTGCCTGATATGCATAAACGGCTTCGCAAACTCGGTTAAATCGGTATACCGAGCGTCGTATCGCAAACCCCGGTGTAAACTCCTCCGCCCGGGATATCGCAACCGGGCATCGGCGCTAAAACGAATTCTTCTAGAGCCGCCATTTTGAATCCACTACTAACCGAACATTTTCAACCGTATAAGGTAAAATAATACCGAACCGCTTCCGCTGGAGAGGAAACTCGGCTCCCAAATTGCAGGCGGATGGGAATGCCGAGAATTGCAGCTGCATTAATATCCCTACACGTCTCGTGAGAACTGATCTTACGCGCGTTCGGCTAGGAGGCGGCGCGCGGCCGCCATGTTAAATTATCTATCGCGCTATTATTCATTTATGCTTATTCGCCTTGATACACACGGATCTTGAATTATTGCCGGCTTACCGTGGTTTTTAATTCTAACGTATTACCATAGCTATCGCGGTCACGATTTTCGCGCTTCTCCGCCCTGCCAACAACGATCGGTCTAAAAGCGACGCCAACTCTTCGGCACAAGATGGCGCCGGAAGTTTCCGCAGCCACTACTGAGAATAATTCGAAATTCGTCTCGAAAAGACCGTAGGAGGCCGCGGGGCTGGAGGAGAGGCATATTTAGTACATAAATCAAAACGCGAAGGCCCTCGCTGCAGGCTAGGAGTTTATATGCTAATAGAAGGTGGAGCGCCTGTGCATGCGCCGCCATCTTGACCGCGATAGCGTCTTCCAGGCTTCGCTCGAGGGATGTCGAGAATATTCGCCACAGGGCGAGATTACCAATATGTCTGGACCGTTCTTCCCTGGAAAACGGACGCGAGGAGGCGTTCCCTTCCTTAGGAGAACTCTTCTCCCGATTTTCGCATCTCTCTGCCTCCCGAAAATCGGACCGGGCTAACGTAACTTAACCTAACCTAACTTTGTATACTGTTATTTAGGTTAAGCGGCTGTCTTCCGTAGGATTGCCCCGGCTTTTCGACCTTTCGAGGTGTCGGCTACGTTATCCACGGATCGGCCTTAAAGCTCGAGATAAGGTCGAGGCTTCTCGCCGGCGAATCGCGAGTCCGCCTTAACGACAAACATTTAATTAAAGTTCTGCCGCCTCGCGGACGAAGATGGCTGGGGTTTTGTTATGCGCGAGGCGTAGGGCACCTAGGTGGCCCATCACGGCGTATCACGGCGTCGTAAAGGCGATTGCAACGGCGCAGCGAGAAAGAGGGAGAGGGCTTCCTTCGCTTAATGCCGCCATCTTCGCGAACCGCCTCACGAGCGCCATTTTCTTATCGCCTCAGACAAGGACGTGTCATCTGCTCCGCGGTGTTCACGAGGTTCCACGCTTCCCGGTAGAAGTCCGTGGTTCCAGCGCGTCTATATTCCTAACCTCACTTCGACGGCATTCAAAAGAATGCAATTCTTTATTGTATTTTTTTTTGCACCGCCTAGTGGACGGACACCTCGAAAGAGGGCGAACCGTCGCCCATGCCTCGACCTCTAGAGTCCCGGCGAAAAATCCTTCCCAGCGACGTCGGATTTCCATTTTTCATCAGGGTCCCGGTAATACCGGGAGCGGTAGCCGCAGGCCTCGGCGGGGGTGTTGTATAAAAGCGCTCGCGACATTACCTCCAATATTCGCAAAACGGATTCTCCGGCGGCCCCGCCCGGCTCGGTCCCGCTGGTAATGAGGTGGTTTCAATTCTTGCCCCGGGGCACCCGGTCGCTGTGTACGGAATATCCGTGCCCGGGCCCCCATTGCCATGTAAATGCCAAGAGAGGCCACTCGCGGAAGACCGTCTCCGCCGCGACAGCTTCGAGACCGCTTCGATACATATTTATTCCCGCCCGCCCAGAGCGCCCGATTCTTGGGACGATCTTGAGAAAAATGGCGTCGTTCTTGCGCCCTCGTCCTCGAGGTTCCCCGTGATACGTCCCTACCCCAGATTCAGGATCGGAACGATTTTTTAAATTGAAACGTCCTCACTTTCTCCTGCTAAGAATTCCGAAAAGAGTATTTATTAAACTCTGTTTCTTTAGATTCCCTAATAAATAATTTCCATGACATTCGAAAGTGTGACCAAGTCTCTCAGTCATCGCCAAGAAATGAACATTAGAGATTCATATCACTGTACGTATATATTAACGATACTTTTATAAATTACGAAAATGGTCCATGGTACCCTGAGGAAAAAGAAAGAAAGAAAACTGCATCGGACCGAAGAAAGATTTTTTTAAGTCAAAGGATCATTATTTGACTAAAATGAATTGAAATGAATTGTCACAGTTCCGAGGTAACGTCGCGACTAATTTACTCGATTTTAGTCAAATGGTGGTTATTCTTTGAATTAAATGAATTTTTTGAAAAAGAAAGAATTCTCGGGTTTGCTGACAGTTTTTTCTCGTGTCGATGACGAACTTTCGCCGTGGCAAAAGGGATAAGTATAATTAACCGCGGAGGATCGTAAAGGAAGAATCCCTAGGGGGATTCTTTGGGGACCCTAGGAGTCCGCTTTTCCTCGGGGTGGAAATAAAGCCCGTCTTCGTTTTGCGTCTGCGGACGGATAGAACGCGTCAACTCGAGATAGAGACGCGAATCGCTCTCTCTCTCTCTCTCCGCGCCGGGAAAAATAAATCGTAAAGGCGCCGGCTCGTAATTTAAACTGGCGCAGTTTCGGTAACTAGTTCGCGTTGCTTCTCCCTGGCGATGTCGCGAAGGGGTGGATTTAGGGGGCCGGGCGCCTCGTAACCGCCAGTTGTAAAGCGATTCGCAGTAAACCGCGGAATGAGTTTATTGCGCTTATTGGCACGAGGTGCCACCAGAAGTCTGTCGCGTTAAGCATCCTCCGCCCGTTCGGCGTCCGCCCTTGTAGCGTCGTTTCCAATATGGCGGCCATTGGCCGCCGGAGATTCGGTCCCGCCTTTAATTGCCAAAGACCAGTTATGGGTCTCCTGTCTGCCAAAATCGTAACCTGATAATAAAGAAGAAGAGAAAAAAAAAACTGGAAATCAGAGGACCACGTAAGTGAAACGCATATTACAAATGAAATGCTAATACGATAACGAAAATAAATGTAAAGAACATTAAATTGAACATTAAATTTGTACGAATTTTTCGACAGATTCAAGGTTGCTTTTTATTTCTACCGTGTGGTAGCACTCCCATCGAGTTGAATTAAAATATGTTTGAATGTAATTAACGAGGTACTCGTGGGATAGATTGAATAATGACTGGAGAACGTCTGCACCGTGGATGCAAGGAAAACAAGATGGCGGCCGAGATTACAAGGACTCTGGACTTCGTCCATTCAATCCGAGACTCGTCTCGGAGGTCTCGCGATATTTGGGGCTTCTTTCTCGAGCTTTCATTTGACACTTTTCGAT